GTTTTTTTTTTATATGGGGTCTTCCAATATAGCCAGGCTGGCCTCAAATCTACAGTCCTGCCTCAGCCTCCTGAGTGTTGGGATTACAGGTGTGCACCACTACCTCAGGCTCAGTGTCCTTATTTCAGTTTTGAAGGGGAGCAATGGCTAGTGCTGTACCTAGAACCATTAGGGAAACTGCTGAATTCAAGGCCTGCGTAGCAAGGTGTGGACTTGTCCAACATGCCTTGGGGGAACTTGTGGCAGATCCGCACCTGCAGTGCCACGTGGACGGACCTCGTGGCTCAGTGGTCTTTTGTTTCTCTTCTTTTTAAAAATGATTTTTTAGGGTTGGAGAGATGACTCAACAGTTAAGAGCACTGACTGCTCTCGCAAAGGACCCAGGTTCAATTCCCCATCACCCACATGGTGGCTGTTTGTAACTCCAGTGCTAGGAGATCCAATGCCCTCTTCCGTCCGTGGACATTGCATGACATGGTGCACTTATGTACATGTAGGCAAAACATTCATGCACATTAAATAAACAAATTTTAATGACTTTAAAATTATTTTTAAAAAATATTTTATTTATTATTTTTATTTTATATGTATGCATGTATTGCCCGCATGTAGGTAAGTGCACCCATGTCGTGCAATGCCCAAGGAGGAGAGAAGAAGCCGTTGGATCCCCTGGAACTGGAGTTATAGAGAGTTGTTAGCTGCTATGTGGGTTCTGGGATTCGAACCCGGGTCTTCTGCAAGAACAGTCAGTGTTCTTAACTGCTGAACTATCTCTCCAGCCCCTAAAATATCTATTTTTTAAACAGAGACAAATGGAGAACTGCTTGTGGGATCTCCCAGCGCTGTCACATGTTAGCATCCAGTTTTGTTCACTTCCCTGTTTCAAAGGAACAGAGCACAGAATGTGGAAGTCTTCAGTGATCATCCCTGATCTCATTCCAAACCAGGGAGCCAGTTTCACAAATTAAATGTTTGTCATGCCTACACACGTTTCCCTGCTTTTACTACATCTGTACCCATAAAAGTTACAGAAGTTGGCTTCATGGTTTACACACCTTGTGTGCATTTGGCTTTTTTTTTTTTTTTTTTTTTTTTTTTTTTTTTTTTTTTTTGCCCTAGCTGGCCTGGAACTCGCCATGTAGACCACTATGAAAAAATTCCAAAGCCTCAGGACTCACCATGTAGACCAGGCTGGCCTGAACTCACAGAAATCCGCCTGCCTCTGCCTCCCATGTGCTGGGATTAAAGGTGTGCGCCACCATGTCTGGCTTCCATTTGGCTTTTTATAATTTTTGTTGCTTCTTTTGCTCAACGTTTGAATCTTTGTGCTTTTCGCTGCTTTGAGCATATCACTTGACTATTTTCTGGCTTATTCCTCGCCTTGTGGGTGGACCTTTAGATGTCTCCTACATCCTGGTTTCTAATAATTTCCCAGTTTGGGAGGCTCAGAAAATGACCTTTAGAGATGGGGAAGGTGGGCATCCTGGTATTCTCCGGAAGGACACTAAAGGTGGTCTGGGGAAAGAAAGTAGCAGTGGGGGGCAACGCCTTGGCCATCAAATCTTCTACAAGCCGTCACTGAGCCCCGGGACAACAGGCAAAGAGCACTCAGTCTCCTGTGCTTGGCCCCATTCACAAGAACTCCTTTTTTCTTCAGGTGATTAATTCTGAGGGCCTTGCCAAGCTGGACAGGGGCTCTACCACTGAGCTATATCTCCAGCCTTTGTTTGTTTGTTTAGTTGGTTGGTTGGTTGGTTTTTGGAGACAGTGTCTTGCTAAGTTGTCCACACTGGCCTTGAACTTGTGATCTTTCTCCCTCCTGAGTAGCTGGGATTACAGGCCTATGCTAGCAGGCCCAACTCACAGCAAGAAGCCCTTGCTCCTGTAACGCCTCTCAGGACACTTGAAGAGAAGGGCAGATGCAGAATAACACTGGAAAGTAAGACAATTCCAGAATTCCAAAGTTTGGAGGGTGATGATGTCTTCTTCCAAACCTTGTCATTACAACCTCATGTAGAGATTGGGAGACTGAAGCTGGGAGAGTGGAAGTGCCTGTGTCTCATCCACCTGAAGCCTCAACCCAGTGACGTTTAGGGAGAAAAGTTCTCAGCACCCCACCAGCTCTCAAGCACCTGAAAAGTGTGGCCATTTGCAGAATCATCTACTGAGATTAAGCAACCCCTGGGGACCCCACATGGTGCCACGTGCCAAGAACTTCACCCAAGGGTACAAAGAAGAGGGTTTTATGGTGTAATTAGAGAGCTGAGGTACCCAGAAACCATTGGCAAGGATTACAGAACTAGCTGTGTGCCACATGGCGAAAGGAACCAGGACCCTCCTCAGCCTTTCTCCACCTCTCCTCCTCCTCCTCCTCCCCCCTTCTTCTCTTCTCCTCCCTCTTTCTCATTTTATTCTTGTTTATTTTTCTCTCTCTCCTAGTATAAGACCCTCATCCCAGGATCCAGAGCACCTGAGTTCCCTTCACTCACTCACTGGCATCACTCCCAGATTCACTTCTCTGCCTCATTTTCCCCTTAACAACAAAGAGGCTTCCATAGCTGGATGACTGCTCAGACCAGTAAGGATGTAACTGTCTGGTGGACACTGGTCACTAAAATTTCTAGGAAAGCAAGCCCTCAGCTAGTGCCCTCCACCCATTAAGAAGCTTGTACTGTAGCTGGTGATCAAAGACACTTTGAAGGAAGTCTCATTAACTGTTCATTGTGCATAGGAGGCACTTTTTCG